CACCCCCCCCTAGTGTCTGTTTCCATTTGTTATGCTTATAGGCATGCATACAAGTCCTTTGGTTGATCTCTCCCTGTCCCCCCGCACCCCCCCCCCCCCCCCCCCCCCCCCGGTTCCTGGGCAGGAAACAGCCCCCCACCATGGCCCCTTAGTCAGCTGGGCAAGCAGGACAGAGGGCCACAGACAGGGAGGCTTAAACAAGGGAAATGGCCTGGCCGGTGCGGCTCAGTGGATAGAGCATCGGCCTGCGGACCAAAGAGTCCCGGGTTCGATTCGGTCGTCAAGGGCACGTACCTTGGTTGCAGGCTCCTCCCCCCCAGCCCAGGCCCTGGTCGGGCACGTGCAGGAGGCAACCAATCGATGTGTTTCTCTCACATCGATGTTTCTCTCTGTCTTTCCCTCTCTCTTCCACTCTCTCTAAAAATCAATGGGTTTTTACAGAGAGTAGAAGAGACCGGAAAGACAGAGAGAAACATCGATTGAGAAATCCTCGGGTGAGGATTAAACAAAAGGGGGAGGGGGAGTGGATTTTCTCACAGCCTGGGGGCCAGCGGTCCAGGATCAGGGTGTCGGGTGAGAGCGCTCTCCCTGGCTCGCAGGTGGCCTCCCTCCGTGTCCTCCCACTCTGTGGGCACAACGCTGGCGGCCCCTCCTTTTCCCATGGGGCACCAGTCTTTCGGACCAGGGCCCCACCCCAGGACCTCAGTTGACCTCAGGTGCCCTCTCCACATACCGACACCCCGGGGGTTCGTCAGGGCTTCCGCACGGGAATTTAGGGGAATGCAACTTGGACCAGGACAGGAGCGAGGAGCCGGGACACCCTCAGCCAGAAGCCAGAGCACGCGACCCACCAGGTCCCGGCCCCGTGGACAGGCTGGTGGGTGGCCTGGGCCCCGGGGGGGCCGGGTGGCAGAGGTCATATTCCCCCAAATCACTAACCAGCGACCGGTTAACTCAACCACCACGTACCACGCAGAACCTCGCACCCCAAAGTGCCCAGCTCGCCGGGTTCTCACAAAACCCGACCAACACCCCACAACCACCCTCAGACGACGAGGGAACCGAGGCCGGCGTGGGGGCCCCACAAGGGCAGCAGCTGGGAGTGGCCAGGTGGGCGCCAGGGAGGCCCAGCGCCACAGGGGGGCAGCAGCCCTCTGGCCCTGCCCTTGCCCTAACCACTTAGCCTCATTGGAGGGAAGCGCCACCATAAACTCCGCTTCGAGAAACTGAGGCAGGAACGGGGCTCCAGGAACGGGGCTGCCCAGAGCCTCAACGCTCTCCTGGAGACCATTTTTGCGCTCTGTCCCCCAAATGGGCAAATTCCAAAAATATAAGTGTTTTACTATGGTTGCAAATATCAACCTCCATTCTGGGCACTGCGTGGGGAGAGGCCCTGAGTCAGTTTGAGGCCGTGTGAACCCAGAGGCGGCTCGGAGGGAAGCGGCCGAGGCTGATCCCTCAGTTTCTTCTGGCGAAACCACAGCTTCCTGCCTCTCAGGTGAAAGGCGGAGGGAGCCCACAGATCGGGGCAGAGTCCCCGACGGACGACGAATGAGCTTCGTGCAGATCAATCAGAAGCAGGCGGAGGACGCGCCCTGTCGCCTTCACACCCGGCCAGAAAACTCGGGGAAACGTGCTCAGGACACCACACACGGGGCTCCCCGGGGACCCCACAGCCCCACACGTCGGGGATTCGGCAGCC